CAATCGGTATATTTCTTGATCATTCCAAGGCATTTGATACTATAGATCATAAAATTTTGCTAGGGAAATTATCACATTATGGTGTCAGGGGCACAGCTCTGGACTGGTTTAAGAGCTACTTAGCTGACAGGAAACAATTTGTTTCTTTAAACGGTTTTGATTCAGGGTTACAGAATGTCACATGCGGCGTTCCTCAGGGATCTCTCATTGGTCCGCTCTTGTTTATTGTATATATTAATGACTTTCATTTCTCATCTGATATTTTGTCATTCATTTTATTTGCTGATGATTCCAGCTTGTACTATTCACACAAAAATTCACAAACTCTGTTAGAAACGGTTAATTTCGAACTAAGTGAAGTTACTTTGTGGATTCAAGCAAATAAATTGTCTTTAAATCTGCAAAAGACAAATTATATGTTTTTTAGTAATACAATCAAAGTGCTTCCAGGAGATGTATCATTTAATAATGTATTGATAGATAGGGTATCATCAACAAAATTCCTTGGTTTGCACATTGATGACCAAATGAGTTGGAAAATTCATGTAAATCATCTCTATAAGACATTGTCAAGAAACAGTGGCGTAATTCATAAATTGAAATCAATTTTACCTAAAGGCATCCTTCTATTAATGTACTCGACATTATTCCTCCCCTATCTTAATTATGGTGTTCTTGCTTGGGGTAAATCTCTTAAAACTAACCTTGAAAAGTTATACTTGATTCAAAAGAGAGTCTTAAGAATTATTTGTAACGTTAGCTTTCGTACGCACACTAATCCGCTTTTTTATACGCATAGAATTTTAAAGGTGCAAGATATTTATCACCTTCAACTGGGTTCTTTAATGTACGACTTCGATTCTGGTGTCCTTCCACATGCTCTAGTCAGCATTTTAAAGAAAAATAGTCAAGTTCATGACCATGCTACACGAAATGCCTCTGCGTTTCACTTACCCCAAGTAAGGACAAAGTTAACTTTTAATACTTTGGTTTTTACTGGACCTAAATTTTGGAACTCTCTAGGCTCTAGCGTTAAGCAATCTGTTAGTCTCTCTTCATTTAAGTGTAAACTTAAGGTTTATCTTCTCAATAAATACTGTGACTCATAGAGTAGTTCATTTTTGTAGTTATTATGGTGCCAAGATATATTATGTATTACTATAAATGTAAATTTTCTTCTTGATATTAATATGTGTCTAACTGAATATTTTCAGATTGTCAACCTCTTATCCCCCCCCCCCCTGTTGTCTTGTGCCCGTTGTGTGCTGTACCTATTGTCGATGTGCTGTAGTCTTCTATTATTTCTCATATTTTCTCTTTTCTCCCGTCTTGTCTAGTCTCGTCTCTCGTTTTGTTGTTGTTGTTGTGTGTGTACACTTCTTGTTTTGTTATACCCCCTTTTTCCTATTGTATTCTTAGGTAGTCACAAATATCTATTCATCATGTTTTATCCGGCTCAGAGGGGACCCTAATAATTACAAGCTCTGCTTTTACCAGGGTCTCCTTGTCTTTCTTTTAGTTAACTTTGTTTTTATCATTGCCATAATTTGTTATTTTGCATTGTAAATGTGTTATGATCCAATGTCATTATGATCCAATGTATGTCATTTGAAAGAAAGACGAATAAAATCTTATCTTATCTATCTTATCTTATAAATCTAAAAGTTAGACTCTATAACCAAATTTCCTAATTTTTACAGAAAGCATACCCAATTCTGTATCAAGCCTTAAATTATGTTTAATCTTATTACTCACCTCCTGGAGATAATGTTGATCTTTAAAGTAGACTATAGCTCCAGCAGCAAAGCAAAGTTGGTCGTTTTCTGCAGACCGATATTTCCCACACATGAGTGGCTGTGTGGGACTGTACTGTAGACCAGTCAGTGTGAGTTTTGTGACTGTATGAGAGCGTGGTAAAAAATTGAAATTCTATTTCGAGTTCGATCTTTTCTCATGTTGTTCAATACTTGCTCTGGAATAGTCTCTTACAATTCTTCTTTCCTGGTGTAAATCTAACCCTTATCCCCTATATTCTGGGTTTTAAAGGAAGACAAATCTGGCGAAACGGCAAAGTAACGGCTGGAGTGAAGAGTTAATTCAAAATTGAAAATACAGTGTGCATCCACCACTAGATGGCAGCAAACACACTAATAATTGTATTTATTTTGGGACAAATTGTTACATTATAATTCCATATTATCGGATCAGTTCAAGGTCATCAAAACAATGGAGTAGTTAGCAAATTCTTTTGCTAATAACATAAACAAATTTTTGTATACTTGATTCAGATTTTAAAAGACAGATAGATCATTTAAGTCAAAGATAAAATCAAAAAATTCTTAATGAATTAAATGATCATTCAATAAAATTATACTCCCATATTTTAAAGGGCCGGGAGAGTCTAGTTCTGAGGAGGGCCAGTAATTTGTTTGAATCATCTTTGAACTCATTTGTATTTACACAAAAAGACATTCTTTCAATATTAATTTGTTGAATTTCTTTTAATACTATTGAATGTTTAAAAACAAACATAATTTGATGGTGGGCATCCATCGAAACATTATTTCCTGGCTAATTTCCTGGGTTTTGAACAGTTTAGGTAGATTGTTTTGAAGGGGTCTCTAAAAGAGTGTAATTTATGACCACCCCCTCCCCGCAAAAAACATCTATCAATATCATGTAGAAGTATTACAAAAATTGAAAGAAATTACACAAATATAAAATGGTAAGAGCTAGAAAAAATTAAATATTAGAGATGCCAGAAATACAGCTACAAAATGACGGAAGTAAGGAAAAAATAACTAATTACAGAAGAATGATGGTACATCAATAAAGGAAATGGAAAGGAGCCAACAAAATATCAAACAAAGTTAAAAGTAAATGTAACATGCTGTTGTTTTGGGGTACTATAGGCGCGTGTTTCATTCTTTTTGATAATATTTATGCCTTTCATTTTTTTTTCTATCTTTTTCTTTCATGGTTTGTAAATTTGCACTCTTCATAAATTTCTAGTTTTTTATGACATATTGACAAACAAATGTTGGTAAAATTAATGATTTCTTAAAGTATATATATCACACACAGCTAGTGGAATAAAACCCCAAAAGTATAAGAAATTAAAGGCAACTAGCAAAAATCTAATAAATTGTAAAGAAGTATTGATAATATAAGGTAAATAGCCAGGAAATAATGAAAGATTAAAAACTAGTTCAGAAGTCCAGAAACATAAGTGAAAAAATGGGTCAGAAAAAAGTCTAGAACGTACAAAAAATAGGAAGAAAATGGGCAGTGAGAACAAAAACTAGTTCAGAAGTCCAGAAACATAAGTAAAAAAATGGGTCAGAAAAAAGTCCAGAAACGTACAGAAAATAGGAAGAAAATGGGCAGTGAGAACAATCTAAATCCAAAAACATAATAAACGAAATAGGACGACATCTCAAAAATCGAAAAGAATAGGGACAAAATAGCAAGAAATATGTAGAACATATAGTTATCAAACTACTTATTCATAGGTTAAAAAGGGTATACCATGGGTATATACCGCAGATTGTATACGGTATTACTGCAGTAGTACCGCAAAAGAACCAGGAGTACCGCAGTTTGTACTGTGAGTACTACGGCAGTACAGTAGTAGAACTGCATACGCAAAATGTGCAATAGTATGGAGTAATAATGCAGTAGTACCGCAGTAATACTGCAGTAATACCACAGGTACAAGTACCACATATGAACTACAGGTACTGCAGTACTACTGCAGTATTACTGCAGTACTACTGCGGTACTACTGCAGTACATATGGGCCCAGATATAAATCAAATAGGCCCCATATATTTTTCACCATCTGAGCCCCATCTTGAAATGCCCATATGCAGCCCATATGTAATAATAATAATAATAATAATATGTGGTACATATGGGCCCAGATATAAACAGACGGACCCCAGATATCTTCCACCATGTAGGCCCCATCTAGCAATGCCCATCTACAGCCCAGATTGGTTATAATTATGTGGTACATATGGGCCCAGATATAAACCAAATGAGTCCCATATATCTTTCACCATATGGGCCCCATCTTGAAATGCCCATCTGCAGCCCATATGAGTTATATGTGGTACATATGGGCCCATATATACACCAGATGGGCCCAAGATATCTTTTTATCATATAGGCCCCATCTAGAAATGCTCATATGCAGCCAATATGGGTTATATGTGGTACATATGGGCCGAGAAATAAACCAGATGGGCCCCAGATACCTTTCACTATATGGGCCCTATCTATAAATGCCCATCTGCAGCCCAAATGGGTTATATATGGTACATATGGGCCGAGATATAGACCAGATGGGCCCCAGATATCTTTCATCATATTGGCCCCATCTAGAAATGCCCATCTGCAGCCCACATATGGGCCCATATATAAACCAGATGGACCCCAGATATCTTCCACCATCTAGGCCTCATCTAGCAATGCCCATCTGCAGCCCATATGGGTTATAAGTGGTACATATGGGCCGAGATATAAACCAGATGGGCCCCATATATCTTTCACCATATGGGCCCCATCTAGAAATGCCCATCTACAGCCCATATGGGTTATAAGTGGTACATATGGGCCACGGATATAAACCAGATGGGCCCCAGATATCTTTCACCATATGGGCCCCATCTAGAAATGCCCATCTGCAGCCCATATGGGTTATATGTGGTACATATGGGCCACGGATATAAACCAGATGGGCCCCATTTATCTGGGCCCCATATACCAATTCGCATTTACTTCCCATATGGGATTCATCTGGGCAATATGGGGCCCAGACAACCCAGATAAAACCCATATGGGCCCCAGATACTTTGCTATCTGGGTTGCAATACACACAAATACTTATATGCTAGATGATCAACCTTTTCTGGTCGATTCCACACCGTTTCTTTCACAAATGACCAAAACTCAAATTCATCTTTAAATCATTCTAAGGAACACGAGTTGGGCGTCTCATGGGGGGCAATACACTAGCAGAGGGCTTCCTTGAACTACAAGCCGAGTCAGGAGCGAAATGGATGAGAGTGTGTGAAGATCCCTCAGCTGATCGGTTGGCGGATGTAGTCTGCGGGGAACTTGGTTTCCCTGGCGTTAAAGAAATGTCCTATGAGCACGGAGGATGTTCCTTAGAAGGAGCTGACCAGGACTGTATTCGGGCCCATACCTGTGATAATTGTAAGAAGCTAGGCATGACCTTTTTTTTTAACGCAGTTTTTTGTTCGGTTATTTTCTTGTAGTGTGTGTGTACTTCATTATGCTTTTGTTTAATATACTTAATAGCGCGTTCGTTCAAAGCGCTAGTCATTTTAAATACAGTGTTTGTGCTCATCTTTTATTCAATAGAATGTACAACAATTAGACTCGACATTGTTTTACTGAATGCATTATAACCTCATTCCACATTATAAAATTGAGATTCACTTTCCATAATGTGAACGAAATTGTCGATTTGGTTAACAGAATATAATACAGCATCAACTTTAGATTCAATTACTAAAATATGTAATTTGTTCGTACCATGAAATTAACAAGCACAGTATGTTAGGCAATTAATTCTCCTTTACGATGTATCCTGACAGACGCATACCATTCGCAGGATTGCTCTGCATCATCTAACGAGTGCAATTCGTCGCTGGCGGTCAAAGTCAAGTGCTTTGGTGAGTCTTTAGCTTTGAGAGCACGTGCGTGGGACTTGCTGTAAGGGGGTGGGACTGCTTACATGGTCATATGTGATGGGCCTAGAGATGAGTGGATGAATGATTTAAACATATTCAATGTAACCGAAACATCAAGTCAAAGACTAAAGGAAAAACATGGTTTATTTTTTGCTAAAATACAATTTTTTGTTTAAACCTGTCTTGTGTATGTTTTTTTTAAAGATGGACTGAATGTCAGAATTTCATATATTATATGATTGTTTTTCAATAGAGATGAATCAGTCATGAACCATGTTGAGACGGAGTTTGCCTGTCTGTGAAGTTAATCCCTGCAACATTAAAAATACCTCATGTATATATCACTAAGTCCATTAGTTGTCCACACGCTCTTGGACCAACTTGCCACGATTAAGTCAGCACGACCTATCACCGACCAACGTAACCTACGGAAGTGGTGGCGCCCGCACTAGTCAACCACAACCCGCTTTGCGGATCTAAACCGTTCAATTATTTTCATTTTTGATTGTAACAAACAACCCTCGTGAAAAGTCAAAGATACTCCCGGGTGTCAGTGAGAGCATCCACAGTCATGTTCAACTTTAGTACGCTACCCTCTAGTCGTGTTAGCGAGTTACTCCTTGATAAATCCAGGAGTAAATAGGTCTGGGTAAAGGTATGAGTAGCTAACACGACCATCGTTCAGACGGTCACTTCTCCGACCTTTACACCTACCTCATCATATTTACCCCGACTAGCTTTTAACACGACCTTTACCCCGGGGTAAATCGTCTCTGTCTGAACAAGACTATAGACGGATGAAAAGTAATACGTCCTATGTATTTATTTAACCATTTTGATATTCTTGAGCAAAGCATTATAATTATTGTGTTTTGATCAGGTTCCGTGTCCTCATATTTCGAAGATGGCGGTTTGGAGCCCTAAACATTCGACTAGGAAGCCAACAAATAAAAGAAAACTTTATATGCAAATGACAGCATAATAATTAGATATACACATTAGTGTCTTTTAATTCGAAATAATTACCAGAAAAAGAATCTGACAAAATAAGGGCGATTTTATTCATCAGTGGGATATGCAACGGTTACTTTACAACATCTCTCCTAGCAGTACGTTCAACTATTAAATGAAAACATCCGTAGAATGGGCAAAGCAGCAAATGTGTTTGCATAATTTTGTGTTTGACGATTACTTTTCTTTTTTTGAATAACTATTTTTCTATAAATCCATATTCATCAACAGAGCTTGGATTCAAAGGATGTTATAACTTGAGTAAAATTCAACTCCAGGACGGATCCTCATACGATTCAACCTCCCAGTGTGTAGCATCATGCAGAGAGGACACATCCAAGGCTATAGCCATTATCAATGGAAGTGAATGCTTTTGCTCCACAACCGATGAAATCGGACTATCCTCCTTCAGCAAGAAGGAAGCCCGGTCATGTGCTCCACATCAGTTAGTTTATAATGGTAAACCGAGAGAGCTACATGTAGATCATACATTGGTTTAGTTTTACAATCCACCTTTAAATTCTGAGGTTGCTTGTATCAGCTTTCAATAAATTTTGAATCGATTGCTTTCCCTTCTATATGGTTAATATCCCTTGTGAATCCCTCTTGTTACGATCCTACTCTGAACCTCACATACTGAATCCCAAAGCTTGACATTTCGAATGGCGGGGACTAAATCGTTAGCCCTAAAGAACCGGGCCATAGTCCTCGAAATTGGAGAAATGGATGGGACACATTATTGTAAAAGATAAATGAGATTAAACAAATTATATCATTTTTAACGTAATCTTTATTTCGCTATGTCTACATACAGTTGTAAGGTTCCAGATGTAATACGTCTTCTTCTTTTTTCTTCTCTTCTTCTTCTTCTTCTTCTTCTTCTTCTTCTTCTTTTCTTCTTCTTCGTTTTCTCGTTAGCTACTGTTGGCTTCTGCAGTGACCTGAATGACGACTTTCACGGATCATGGGATTCTAACATCACATGGTTTGGTTCCATTGTTCGTCTCACGTGTGATGCTGGATACATGCTGAATAGAAGTGGAACACTGCAGTGCATAACAAAGGTGCCTTCATACCTTCCTGTCTGGAACGATTCTATTCCAACATGCGAAATTATTACAAGTAAGGAACAAAAACCTTTATCTACAGGTCACAAAAGTTGAATAAAAGAAAAACTGCACATTTTCGAGCGACGGGATCTGTCATCCAAAAATTATCATAGAAATATATGATCAAAACTTGTGTAAAAAGTTGTAAAAAGTTGGAAAAGTACAATCGGGTCTAAAAATATTAAATTATAAAAGGAAACAGACAGTTATGAATTTGTTTTATTTGTACTTGATCACTGCAAAATGGCATCTCTGTGATTGAACTTCCGCGCTAGACTCTCATTTGTTCGATTATTGAAATTCCATATTTGTCCAGTTATCCTGTTTTTGATGAAGTAGTAGATCTATTTCTTGTATAAAAGTCTGTAAAAATATAATTATGTAAAAAGATGTTTCAAGAGTACATATATAAATGAACGCTTTCGTCTTAGAAAAAGTATATTAGTGACATTTTAATACACACCATATGTGCGAAGTGCTTTAAATCCCAGATTTGCCATTTTGTCATATCCAAGCGTAAAATCATGCAAAACTCCCAAGTTTTCGGCATCCTTCACATGATTTTCCTAAACATTGAAAAGATTTAAAATCCAAGATTTATATGTTCTTTTTGGGCCAACCTATACTGTGAGCTTCCCCTTTAAACATCATTAACGTTAAAGGAAATAAATTGTTGTAAATATATTGAAGGTTTTTAATTATTTTATATTAGGTAGGCTTTTTAAGCCTTTCAAACGGATTTCCCCTATAGATTAATATTTTCTGCACACCGACCATGCTCGAGAAGTTTTAAATGAATATATTTCTATCGTGAAATGAATTATTCTTATTCCCGATTGTTGCGATCATCAATACGCTGATTAAAAATAACTTCAATCGTCTTATTAATTGTATAAGATTATCATGAAATTACAAATAACCTTGCAGCAACCACTGGACCAACAACCACGCAAGGTACGTATGACAACATAAATTGGATTCATGAGACCTTGCAATATATACCTCACATTGTTATATTGCCGCACTACATACAACCGAGTTAGTACTTTGTCATGCATTGTATATGATGCGACAAAGGATGATCGAATGGTGTAAATTGATCTAGGAATTTTGTTGAAGTAATATATATACATATATATATCAATATGTAAAACTTGTTTAATGATGATCAGGTAATCAAGATTTGAACTAGGTAAAACAGATTGCAGAATATACACATCCGTATTTTACTATATCCCTTTTAATAACCCGACAAGGGTCTAAGATTATGTTTAGCTAAGAAAAGGTTAGAATCCAAACTAACTTCCCTCGTTAAACACGATGTCGAATCAAAGCCTAGGTCCAGAACCGGATTTATATAACGTCTATCCAGCTGGCGCAAAATTGAATGACAACTTCGCGTCACTAAATTGAATTGATTTCTCTCTAAATTGAATGAAATAACATTTCAAAGGAATGACATGAAACGAAATTGAATGATCAAAGAATGAAAATGAACCATGAGAGCAGAGAGTTGACAAAAATCGTTCAAACTTGAACGTCTATTCATGAATTTGAATGAAACCTATAGTATGTAGGCCAATCTGTTGAAATATGACTTTAAAATACATTTGAAAGACAAGAAAGTGTAGTTAAAATGAAAATGAAAGGCGGAAAATGACTTCCTTACAATATTAGCTGTCTAGGCTTAACATCAAAGAAAACGTCATAACAAATATAATCCTTTGAAAATTCAGTTTGGAAATGGCATTTTATACAAAATTCCCATTAGTTGAATATAGGCTTAACCCTTACTGTACTGGGCTATTTTGAGCACCTCCTGACTGGGGGGGGGGGGGGGGGGGCCTGGGAGGCCCCCCCCCTTTGATCTCGGCCGTCGGATGTCCGATGAACACGAAAATTTGCATGTTTGTAGATATTTACGTAACGAACAAGATGGTGTAATTAGTTTTTTGCAAATATGCAAATTTTTGTCGTTATAGCCTAATTAATTATGCAAAATGCTAATTTTATGCATTTTACAGAAAACGTGTCAAACTTCACTTTTTGAACGTTGAAACTCATTATTCATATGAAACTTCTTTTCTAACACAAAATATTTATTTGGATGTAATTAATAATGATAATTAATGCAAATTTGACGCGATTTTCAAATATTTATTTTCTTATGTATTTTATTGTTTTTTTATTTCTTATTATATCTATTGTTTTTATTTCTTATGTATTCTTTTGTTCTGGAATACATCAAGTTACTTTGAGAAACATATAAAAGCAATTCGATATCAATTCATATCACCCACTTAGGAAGGAATACATCTAAACCTGTATTCACATTTCTGCTTGTTCATGAATATATGCAATTATAGCATATTTTTGATGACATGCGCATACTGATTGTTATGTAACACCTCACAGGTATATCCGATTGCGACGAAAAGGGTATCAAAACGTGCGTAAGACTTGAGGGGAAAAAGTCATGAAACGACAATTCAAAATTTCAAGCGGTTGCGGCGCAATCTCCGAAAATGTCGAGGGGGGGGGGCCTCCCCGGCCCCCCCCCCCCCAGTACAGTAAGGGTTAAATGTAACAGAGTACCCACCTCGGGAGGTGATGTCCAGAGCTTATTTTCTCCAAATCTGAAAAACGAACAATGGCCTGAGGGGGCAACTGAAGCTATAGATATAAGTGAATGTATATTACCTTATTATATGGAGCAGGTTAAGTTTTAAAAAAAGGAAATAACGATTGCTACCTCCATCGTTCTTTTCATAATGGGAAAATCGATATCAAGACTAAGAAGCCATGTCTAACATGAAATTTGAATTACATTACTTTTGCAGCGCACAACTCTTGTATACTAATATAATGATTTTGTTCTTGTTTCTTTTTTTATTTCTGTTCATTTTGAACTATGTAACAAAAAATAAAAAGCGAGACATTTATCAACATTACAAACTGAATTGACAAAAGACTTATTCTCCGTTTCGTTGACGATCACACATAGACGATAGAATTCATGCGTGCCTGATTTTCAACGAAACGGAGTTAAGTCTTTCGTCAATTTTGCTTGTTGCTACGGCAGGCGGCCAGTGAAAACGAACTGTTAAAATCAAATCATGGAAATGCAAGCATCACTTTAAACAAACAGAACTTTGTTATTCCCCGCTCATTTTTCCTGATTGAGGTGCCATATGAAAGGGCAGGAACTCAACTTTCTAGAAATGTGATTTTCTATTTGAAATTCAGATACCGTCCGCCAAATGACTTTTTGGTTTCCTCTCTTCAAATTAATTTTAATCACTCTTTCGTGGAAATTCATCATGTGTTGCATCAAATGAAAGAAGAGGATCTAAGCTTTACAAATATGTGTCATTTATTAATTATAGTTGTAATTAAGTTATAAGACATCGATATATTCTCGGTTTTGTATTTTTCTGGGACGCACTGTACATTCTAAACTGAAGGCGTCTTTGCATTTTGCGCGAAGGTAGAGCTATGATTGATCTGTCGCTAATTACAAATCAGCGTGTAGAGGCGAATAATCTTAATGTGCCCAATATAATAGTTTTGTAAACATGAATAATTTACATTGTTATTTCTACTAGCAACCTGATTTCTTTTATAGCAAACTTTTATCACACAAGTACAGCACCTAGAAATTATGGCTCCCAGCACGACACTTCCTCGTTCAATTCAACATCTGGTGCTGTACGTGTAAATCAAGTTTATGAAATTTATGGACAGGCCTTATCATTACAATGAAGAAATTATGTGTTGAATTGGACGAAATGAGGGTAAATTTCTATCCAAACAACTTTCGGGCAAAATCTTGTTGAATGCCAAACGTCGACAATTGTTTGCATTTCACGATCAAATACTACACATCCAATAGTAATCACCAGAAATGTAATAGCATTTACAAAAAGCACAAGCCCCAACGTTGGTCAGACACACTCGCCATGCTAACATTTTGCACTGTCCTTATGTGTTTACAATAACATTTTATCGAAAATAATATCGCTATTGATATTCGTTTGTCTCGCAATGTGGTCAATAAGGAATCTAAAAGATCACGACGTTTCGTGCGCCGCTGCAACACTTCGCCAGTTGATAAAAACTAATGTAAGCAAGCGTCTTTTATACACAGCGGCGCACGAAACGTCGTGATCTTTTAGATTCCTTATTGACCACATTGCGAGACAAACGAATATCACTAGCGATATTATTTCGATACTACATCCGCAATGAGTAATATATTTAGCATTAATAATATTTTACGTTGCATATTTTATTTCTTACACGCTCGGATGCCGTACATTAAATCTTGTGGAAGCAAAACTTGAAAAAGGAAGAGTTACATGGCGGGGGAAATTATATTTATTTCATAAAAGCCGTTTTTTCTTCAGTGTTTCCAGAATATCAGAATGATGACACGATAATAGCACATATTCAATACAAACAAGTTCATTGCATTTAACCGTTGATACTAAGATCTTTATAATTAAAACGTAGAGAGATTATTGGCATGCTGTTTGCAAAACAACATTTCTTTTGGTACAAGGTATTTTTAAATTTTATATCAGATGTTTATCAATCTGTTTGGGATATAAGGCTGACGCCTTACAACTCCTTGGTCTTTTCATTAAAGGGAATGGGTAACTTTGTCTCAAATTCTGAAGCAAAATCCTGGATTTAGCTCATGCTGTAATGATAATTATTAATCTTTAGGTCAGTCAGGAACCCACTGACTTTTACAAGCCGATCGCCTGTCTGATTATCAAGATATTTACAATTGGAAATTGTAATTTAAAAATTCGTTTTCCTAACGGTTTTTATAACACCACAGTCTATTAGGGAAAATGAGTATGGAGTAACTGGTCACACAAAGATTTTTACTTTTTTAAGGCAGTATATTTTTTGTAGGGCTTCAATATTACACCATATCACAGACACGTAGGGCCCTGCATCTCAGATTTAACATTGTTAAAAATTGCCTTTAAAATAAAACTCAAACATGTACGCCACTGACGAATATGGGATTGAACTTTTCTACTTATTTTCATGATTTATAGATAGTACATCATGTACCTACGCTGAAACAACACAGGGTAAGATATATACACATTCTGAGCCGTTTTCGCAGGATATGACACCACCAGAGATGGGAATGATTTTGCATAATTACCACTTCCATGCTATTTTAGGCAGTTTTTCTGATCGTATTATTTATTTATATTTTAGTAGTAACAAACCATAATTATGTAACCTGCATGTGACGTCAAGTACCATACGTTTTCCTCTGGAGTGGCAATCCTGTCAGATGCTATTTTTCGTTTATTTTCACCTCCAATCGCTCATACCCAATATCTTACACCTTTTCAGGTTGTTTTGAGTTTTCGGAAGGAGAAAACCTACATCATGATGACACCACAATCATTGAAGGGGAAATATTAAACCACAGAATCTAAATTCGCCCCTTTTTCTAAGATTTTATGAATTCCTATTGCTCGCTCTAAATATTCCAAAAATTAAACCTACGGGAATTCCATTACGTAACATTTTTACTAGTCATCAGACAGCCAATTTCCAGGGGCTAATGCAGTGAGATCACGTAAATTATGGAGATTGAAGAGAATTGCACCCGCAAGCACTGATAAAAAAGACCCTGTTGACAGAAAGAAAAAATACGGAAAAATTGTCCTTTCAGATGTTGGTGAACAAGCCTTTTGGATAAACATAAAAAAGTCACTTAGAGGGCAATCTAATCCTTATAATAACTAACAATAACTAATAACCTCATTTGTATAGAAGCATAATAATAGGACGAAAATATGACGAAAGTGAGGAATAAATTAGGCCAATAATACGGGAGTTAAGCATGTTTGAAATATAAGATCACTAAATCTATACAAATCAGAAATTAGCAAGGAGATTGTGACCTAATAATGATGTACACAGCATGCATGCTGTAATATTATTGCTTGGTTAAGCCAGGAGGGGCTACACGCCTGCCTCAACCTCCTTCACGCGACCAGTGTCGGTTTACTTTGTTGCATACATCTTTTCTATCTATGTCCATGTTGCCTCTTATGGGTGGGCATAATGAATGCAGTATGGAAGAGGGTAAGGAACAAATGATGTTCATGGTTATCAAAAAAACACATTCAACTCCTGTGTCACATGTCCTTTGATCCAGTACTTTGTACTTCGAGTGCAAATAAAATACTTTTTTTTGAAAAAAATTGCCACGGCAAACTCAAACATACAGAAATTTGCACCCACTCAACCATCAATATTCAGAATCTGGATATCTTGATATGTTTATTATGAATGGTTTTGTATATGATTACTTTTAAAATGCTCACTAGAACACCATTTTTGTCTTAATGATTTGTTTTGTTTTCACAGGACAGTCTGTTGTTTATAAGTTCCTTTTCCTCGCCACTCCTAGAAAATAACTAAATAAATGTATGTATATATATATATAAATATAAGAAATAATTTAATTTGGAAATTCTTCTGCACGGTTGTAGAAAGAGTTAATATAAAGGTTGTTCCCACTATATTATACTTGTATATGCATTACTCTATAATGTCTATGAAACGTTCCATTCTGCTGCGAGACCGAAATTTGATTGATTAATCTACGAATTTTGACAATATAAATTTCTTACGAGTCTCACAGTGAAGAGAGTTCAGGAGTCAGCAAAAAGTATTTGTTGTGATAGTTTACACCTCGTAACATTAACACGAATAACTACCAACTGATTATCGATGTTTTCACTTCTTATCTTGTTCGTTTAAACACATACAGAACAACATTTAGATACTTCTCACTCGATGACTAGTGAAAAGGGTAATGCAGCTATAGCCATTTCTTCCTCCATGATCGCTCTCTTCACCGCTCTCCCCATTTGCATCATATGTGCTGCTGTCTGGTACGTTGTTCTTTACTTTTTAATTCCATAATCAGTTTCTGCAAACTATTACTATATTTGATATGCAATCATTTATAATTGACGAATTGGCGCGATAAGCCTCTTCCTTTTCAAAAGTTTGTCAACTTACGGCATACGGTATTCGCTTTATTCCCTTAAACAACGAGGATATGTCGTAGAAGAATGGGAGCACTGCGTTGGAGAGATTGGAGACTGAAGACGGAATAACGTTGACAAAATCACATTGAAATACATAGGCATATCAAAAACAGTCGAAATATAACTTGTGGTGTAATTTTGACGAGCGTTTTGCGTTTCATTTCAGTAAACTTTTTAAATGAATTTGGTTGAAATAAAAAAAAACTTCATAATTACCATACATAGACTTTCAGTGACCACATATTGACTGGAATGGAATGATACCTGAAGGTAAGATTTGTAACTTTTTGCCCTTGGTGAATGTGTTTGTAAAATCTAAGCAGCATGGCTATCTGCAATCTATTCCAAACTCAATTGCATGCATTTATAATCATTCGGCATTCATTTTATAGAAGTGGCATAACTACAAAATATAAAGAACAGATATTCTTCATTTTGTGATGAAAACACCATAATGCAGCACTCATGTAACCATAATTCTATACATAAATATAGAAATATCTCAGTCATCCTACCCCGAGGACTTTGATAGACATGTTTCAAAATGTTAACGTAAGCTTGGAAAAAATATCACTACGTTGCAAATACTTAATGAGCAGTTTTGCAGTTGGGCTCTAGTATATTTATAACTCAGCCCTGACACCTAAATCCTACTCGCAAAATTACAAGTAGTGGGGTGGATATGAACACAGAGTGAATAGATACAAAAGTTAACGTGATTTCTTTTTAGTAACAAGTCAGAGAACTTTCATTCTCTGAAATTTTAGACCTAATTGTATGGAGAGTGCCCTCATTTCGAGTTTTTGAAAGATGGCTGCCATTGCCCTATCACGACTAAAGAGCGATTTATGAGATGCCTTGTTATTTATTCAAATCTGCTCCTTAAGCAAAGACAATCATTTGACACGATAACATTTTTTAAAATTGTAATTCATCGGCTATGCCGCTCCACTAGTCCTTACAAAAATTGTGATTGCCAATCATATTCCATTAATCAATTTTATGTTTGTATGTTACACTGAGGAAATTGAGGATGAGTGCTAAATGCCATTGGGCTGTGGGCCTAACTACATCGTGTATATAAACCATGTAAAGCCTAGCAATAGATTTTTCTAACTTTTTGGTTCCACCTTAACAAATTAAACGTAGAACGGGATGTAAGTAAAGATTTATCAAGAAGAAGCTTTCTATTTAAGGCATGTGGGTTGGTAGATGAAACTTAACACATGTTTAGGGTAAGACACTCCAACTTTAACTAAAGATGCCAGGCAGGAATTAACGAAGAACGTTTATACACCGAGGTATTGAGTATATAATATGAAATAAATAACTTTCAAAATGTAAAAGCTGCAGAGTGTGGTTTGATTTACTGCTGTATTTTGTGGCTTAAACCGATACATAGCTGTAAAATCACGTTCATAATTCTCTAATTTAAGAGGAATATCAGCTTTCTAGAAGCTTCAAAAAGAAATTGAGAGCACCTCTAGATTGGGAAAAGAAATAGCGACTGATAAAAATCTAAACTAGTAAAATCTCTATTTACCTAGAGAATATCTTGGAAAAAATACAAAAAATTGCTTGATGATTAGTAAAAATTCTTTCTTTTCAAATGAGCATATCATAATGATCCAATAAACCTTTGTGTAAGAGGCCTACCAGAAAGGAACTCTTTGAAAAAGTAGTAAAACATATGAGTAGAATTGCAAGCTGTTGCATTTATGTGGAACTAATTTATAAAAATAAAAAAAAGTTCTTCCTAGAAATTACATGTGCTTGATTTGAATAAATGTACATGAAAATTAAAAGCAAAAAAAAAAGCAGTTAAAAAGCAATGCTGGGCTATTGGCTGTCGGTCTCGCGAGCTTTCGGTCTAGTCCGGGATTTCCCACGCTTCATCGTTATTCTATACAAGCGATGTGAACATGGGACAAGTAGCTACATGCAACTTTATTAAGCGTACATTTTCTTTAGATTCAGCCTCATTATTCATGTCATAGTTAACATTGTATTTGTGTTTTGCTTCTGTGTGTAATATATCAATGTTCTTTGTAGCTCCCCCTGTTATAAGCACGTTGATCTTCAAATGAATGTTTTATAATGCTAAACCCAAAGCTAATTTATGTTTTACTGTCTTGGTGCGTTTGAATAGATGTGGGCATGCTGGTGTGGCTTGTGTGTGTGCGTGTGTGTGCGCTTGAAAGGGTGTGTTTTCTGCTATGCCAAGAGGCTCATTAGAATGACACGTCTATCTTGTTCCTGGTGTGGTGAAGAAATACATAAGCGTTTCCCTTCCAATAGAGTACCGAAGCTGTGACATCATATAATTTTTTTGTTTTGTTGAATTTCTCAATTTCTTTTTCATTGTCCGAAAGAGCATAAAAAATAACGTCCAAATGTCGAAAGCCAACATTTTGAATATGTTAAGTATTGGCTGAGGGCTGAGATATGACCATCTGAATAAAAACAATTCCTATAGGAGCGCAGTGTTATTTTGTTCTGGTTCGTAAAGTTATGAACCAGAGCAAAATAACACTGAGTTCGTATAGGAAATCTATTTAATATGCAGATGGTCATATCTCAGCCAATAATTAACATATTCAATAGGCTTTTGACATTTGGACATTATTTTTGATGCTCTTTCGGAAAATGAAGAAAAAAAAATTGAAAAATTCTAAAAAATACCAAACCCCCCCCCCCCAAAAAAAAAAATGATGACGTCACTCTTCACCACTCTATGTTGAATCCAGGACAGATTTTTCTAACAGGGTCATAGATTGGGGAGGGGGTGGGAGAGGGATGGTACAAGGGTCAAAATAGGCAGTGATATACTATAGGCCAAGATGTAAGCAAAGCTTCCTACTAACGCACGTTAGAATGTAACTACTATAAGTTTAAAGAATGTCGAATATGAAAATGACGTCTAGAACGTTATGTATGAGCGATTTCCAAAATCACTACTTAGTATGATCAGTCTTAATTTTCATGTCGAGTTTAAAAAAAGACTAATCATCAGGAAGGTCGGAGAGCTGCCTTATGATATATTGTTGTGACAGGGATAAGAAATTTCGAAAGGAAATGGGGCCTATACAGTTCGTCACGGCTGAAATATTTTGACAAGACAAATAAAACCATAATGCAGCGATGGATATTCTGGAATCAGGTGCATGATGGACATTTAAACGTGCATAGTAGACGAAGAAAATTTAAGTAGATTGAAGAAGATGAAATAATACTCTTAATTCTCAAAATAGACTTTCGATGGAATTCACAATACACGTGTCTATAATGGAAGTAGTTAAGATAGATGCATCATGTTCATCAACATATTTTGACCATTGGCATCATGCATGTCATAATCAGTATTTGATTCATCAAGCAGGATTGCTAGCATCTTGTTTGTCATGCTCGATCTAATCATCAACTTCTTTATCATTTAATATAGCTTCTCTTAAAGAGAAGGTTGAGTTCTGGGAAGAGGTGAAAAAAAATTGTGAGCGTTATCATTCTTATTATGCAAGTGTGGAAGAACATCAGATAAGACATGTTCCCTGAAAAGCATGGCTCTTCAAATGCCTTTATATTCTAAATATGTCGTGTAACTCGTAAAACTCGGGGGGGTAGGTTTTTTACGCCACGTGTTCGTGTAGTCCCATATACATCTTTCTGTGTACAGTGTTTGTAACTTTACCAAGACTTGGCCAATTTTTTTATCAATTTGATGATTCCAGAACCTTGCAATACACACAAATTCTTATATGTTAGATGATAAACCTTTTCTGGTCGATTTCACACCGTTTCTTTCACAATGCAATCGCATGAGCAGAACTCAACTTCATCTTTAAGTTTCCGATTTTTCAGGGTTCAACTATCGATTCACATAATGTCTGTTGATTTTATTTGAAAGAATTAATCTAGAGTTATTTTGAAGGCGCCTTGAGAATCTGTAGAAATTGGTGTAAGGGCGCTTTGTGTAATTGGTATCATTGCAATCATTAGTATTATTATCATACATATTGCTGTTGTAATTATTGTTTGGGGGTTTATATATTATCATTTTTATTAACATTAACGTCATCACTTCTATTATTACTATCATCATTTTAGGAATTAAAATTTGTAGTAGTATAAGAGTTTTTTTTATGTTGGTACTATTACTAATACTACATTTGTTTTGTCATCATCATAAATGAAACTATGCATAGCAATTAGTCCTTAATCTATTCAAGTAAAAACAGCGAGATTCATTAAGATGAACACACATCATGTTAGCCTGACTACATAATTGTTTATCAGAAGGGGACCTTAATTTCAATTAACTTACTTGATTTACATTTTTGTTACAGGAAATGCAGGAAAAGAAAAATCCATAAGCAAAGTGCGGCTCCATCAACAACGGCAACCAGAGAATCCGACCTGACCAACCGTACCAGAGCTCTCCCACAAACTCCCATTGACGAATCCCAACCAACCATATTACCTAACAGATCCCAACATGTTACCAGAACGCCAAATAACCTCAACAACTCCTCCACATTACATACCTCACTTGAATTAACTGCTTTACAGCGCGGGAACAATAATTACGCATCAGGTAATCCGTATCACTACGCAGTCAGTATGACTCATACACATCAAGCAACACCAAACATGGGTACTGATGTGAATGCTGAAGACATGACAGATCAAAACACAATCAATGCCGGGCAGAGGACGAAGATGATGCCCATGTTCAATCGCCCATTACCACATAGGCCGATATCGGTTGGTGTTCAGGAAGGCCCATCCCTTCCTCCTCGAGAAAGACATGTGATTCACTCTTCTACTCTCTCTCCAAACTTGACACAAAATACACGTTTAGTAAATTCACACCTTGGGGCATGTTCCCTGTCCTACAACCCGCTAACAAACGGAGAACAAGGTAAGACAGTCGACCGAATGCCACGAAATTGTGCTATTACTAAAGAGGTTGTCGTAATATATCCCTTTAAAGGTACAACCTCTAATGGAAATACACACCATGGATATTATTCTGCAGATGACTTTGAACATGATGAAGTGAATAAGGGGGGCGATTTTCCACTTGTATCGTCTAAATTAAACCCTTTTTACCATTGTCTAGAGGATGACGATCAGCAAATGTGTAGCAATGATTGTGATACAGATGTTTTGATTAATAATGAAAGCAATGATCATGATGACAACCTGGCTGATGTGATGGTTGATAATGTGCTTTACAACCCAATGGACTTCTAATATTTTCCTGTTTCAAGACATGATTGCCTATATATGGTACAAATACATTTGCAGGAACCAATCCCCAGTGACGAGCTAGATCTACAAGCGTGTGGTCTTCAAACCGGATTTAAGACCTTCTGCTGTCACGTCGGGGATAAATACATTTTGTTACTGTAAATTTTATCTGATCCTTCCCGAGTATAGTTTGTCACAAACTATGCACTTTGTTCTTGTAAATACACAAGTGTCATCATGTAATGCATGAATTTGTAATAACATAGTTCGAATATTTAAGTGGATATTTACCACATCTCTTTTGATGATGAGTATATGTGTAAAATTTGTTCTTGTATATTTTCCCCGTCAATTATTACTTTTTTTGCACACATAAACATAGTTTCTAGTAAGTGATGTACATATGAAATAAATGATTTGTGCAGAACAACTGAACTGTCTTAACGTTAACATAAATCTACATTCAAATATACAAGATTAATTGCAGGAGATAGTTATAATGCAATGTTTGTTTGAATATGAATGTTTGTATTTGCAAGATACAATGCTAAAGCGATCCAGTGTAAATTAACTTTACCAATGTGCCTGCAACCATATACATGACACTTTTAAAATAAGGAAAATAATTAAGAAATTGTATATAATTATGATGAAATGTTGTGAATAGTTGAAATAAATAATCGTTTAGTAGAAACTATAATGAGTAATTGTAAGCTATAATGTCGTGCTATGGTATTAATGGTACAAATCCATAATAATGTGTGCACTGCCTGTAAGAAAATAATTTGTGTTATTGTAATTAATCTTTGTCATTATGATCTCACTACTACATGTTATTACCTATTTTGATTCCTGTAATTTTGATGTTTGCTTTTACTATTGTACGAAACCTGTAATTCGGCTTTCGAGCCGCGATTGATTTTTATTTCAATAAAACCATTACTACTACTACTACTACTTAGTAATTTACTTATGAAAGTACATGTAAGTTATGCTCTCAGACTATATCTTTAGATTAATCTGTTTTGTACTCTAGAGATAAAAAGCTTCGCAGACTAGATTAGAACAAAATATTACAACAAAAAGTTGACAACTATAAAAATGAAACAATTATGTGAAGTAGACGATAACATTTTTAGAAAGGATATTTATTCAAAATTGAGAAATGGATTTCTGTTCAGGCCTCTCAAGGGAAAATGCAGACGGTCACTGTAGAAATGTGCCCGTTTTCTGACATGTTATTCTACAAACATGTAGTTCTAAAGGGAGGCAATATAGGTGATGATAGACAGTTGTTTTTTATAGAGGCAGATTTGACTTTAGTTCATATACTCAAGTTTATGCCGTGTACAGTGTTAGGTGATTAAACAGCGATATTCAGAATGCTGAATCTCACATCAGTGGCATATGCAACATGTTATGGAGAAGGTGTAGCCCCTTTCCAATATCCTTCCTAACCCTTCAGAGGTCACCCCTCCCCCCCCCCCCCCAAAAAAAAAAAAAAAATTAATAAAAAAAATAAAATAAAATAAAGATATATATATCAATACAACTTACAATGTTTATACTGCACGCAGTATTGCCGTTCCGATCTTGGTCCCGGCTATCTAGGGAAGTATTCCGCCCATCTTCTTTACATCACTAAATATGGATATGCCACTGGTTCTATGCTTATGATTTAAGGTCCATGTGAAATGCTTGATACTCTTATAAATGTGTTGAGCCTGGAATCTGCAGCAGTTTGCCAAAAGGTATATTATATTTATGTGGATTTTAATTTTAATTTAGTTTATCATGTTTATTTTATATCAATAGCCTATGTATATTTGTAGTAAAAAGTAATCGTGTATTTGTTCGTATCATCTTTCTCTTACGCTAACTGCATTAGTAGTGCATGTTGAGTTCGTTGATATTATTATGCCATTTCTCACATTTCACATCATGGAATGTGCCAGTTATCTCCAGGTCAACATTTCTTTCTTAGTTTACAGAACAAAGTTAATAGCTTTGTAAATGACGAGTTGACTCGTGCTGTTGTTAAAAGGCGCTGAAATATACTGAAATAAGCAAGGATAAGAGGCCATACAGACGTCTACTACGTTTCAACTCCGACTGTAATCTTTCACCATCATGCTCCAATTTCTATCATAACTCTTACCAAGTGTCCATATTAGTCTTTCTCTTCGCTATCGTGGCTATAGAATGGGGTTGTCCACTTTCCTTTGTTATTTGTTAGTTAGATCGTGCAGGCTCTTGTAATATTTTCATCTGTTTTGGAAGTTGTGCTTTGATGTGTTGAACGCTTTCCTGTATGAAGTATTATGCATGAACTGTATTTGGTAGTGAGGCAGTCAAATATCTTTTGGGGAAAATGTTTACTTGTCTGCTGACTTCAATATTATTAGACAACAGAACGTAAAGCAGCCCGAAAAAAGTGACACAAAGCAGGTAAAAATATTCAATTCCTTCTATGTATAGATGGATGTTTGTATGCATAATTGTGAAAGCGCTTTCGCTGGTACATGGTTTTATTTTGTATTTGATTGTAAATTCATTCCTTTATTTTGATTTCATCTCCTTCATGTTTTCATCCGTTTACTTATTATTGGTGTATTAAATGCGAAATAAATGGCAAGAGTAAAGATACCCTGAAAGATTCTGATGTATACATTTTTGTTAAAGCTTTAGCTCTAGTTGCTTGTGCATAAAACAAATTCTCCATATATATATATATATATATATATATATATATATATATATATATATATATATTTCACACCTCCATGTGTAAACACGCATCTATTCACATGCACTAGCATTTGCTAAAATATTACGTTCGCATATATATACACTGATCATGGCCAGCTTTAGTTTACCTTCCATTTATTAGGCCTCCATACATACACTATATTATTGGTAATTTCTTTTCTTTTCTTTTCTTTTCTTTTCTTTTATTTAATTTTCTGTTCCTTATTTTCTAATCTTGTGGCTGATTTGGAAAAGCATTCATGTTCAAAAAAACACCGACGTAACTAATTCTTACGTCTATTGAATGTTTTACTTGAACAGCTTCTAAATATTCTTAAGAAGGAGATATATAAATACAAAGAAAAAGGCTGTAATACGGAAAATTTCAAGTTCCTTTTTTCAGCCACTCATTCCAAGCATCATCTGACTGTAGCGTGGAGCAAGACGGGAAATAATGCTTCTACTCGATGCATAAAGGAAAATATATATCACTGCTTTGTTTTTTTCTTCAGGACAAAGGGCTAGATAAACCCGCTCATTTCTTTGATTTTCACTTTACATTTTGTATTTGAAATTCTATTGAAATTTCCATCCAGGCATCTTTTTCACTATTGCTACTAATCAACACATAGCTACAAATTTATGAACAATTACAATATTGATTTATAGAGATTGAGGAGTGAACTTCGAATTAATTCACAGCAAAGTATTCTGTTTGCAACGTTTAATTGTCGCTAATCTCTTATAATGACACAATAACGATTTTTATTGTCCTTTTCTTGTCTAAGGTTGAACACTTTACAGTTGTGTACAGTGAAGGAAAAAAACAATTTTCTCACTCATATAATGTTGAACCCTTATTTAGTCATCGAATATATATTCTAAATTATATATAGCCCTGAAATAACTACAAATCTTCTTGTTCCCAATAATTCAATGAGCCCTTTTACGATTGCAGTATCTAGCCTAAATATATTCTTCCCCCTTTTTAATTGTTGTTTTTATCTATTACGTTTTCAGAAATGTATGCCCCATTCAAAGGAGGTGTGGCTGTCATAACAAGCGCCATTAATTTTATTTCACTAAAAAAAAATTTGTTTCGATTGCTAGGTAGAGCCAGTAGTGTCAAATGTGACAGACATGAACGATATGAAAGAGCTCACTATATTCATAATTTAAATTTTTCCTGTTTTCTATTACCCTTTCTGACTTGTATGCATCATTTGATTGGAAAGAACCCACTTTAACCATGACCATTTCATATTGTTTGTAATTCTTTTCGATAGGAAAAGAAATGCAGCCTTCTTCCAGAAACGCCCGTCTTCTCTAAATTGATTGTTTGGTTGTTGCTATGGAGCGCCAGGAGTGTCATTATGAGACAGACGTCAGCGCTATAAAAGAACGTATTATTACCATGGTCGTTTTTTCCTATTACATTTTTTGACATTTATGCACTATTCGATCTGGAAGGAACTGCAGCCTTCTTCCAAAAATGCAATGTTTTTTACTTTACTAATTTGTCTGTTTCTTTGCTAGGAAGCGTCACGAATGCTAAATGTGACATTCTTTTGTTTTAAATAATTGTTTTAATTATTATTTAGTTGTGTTATTTTAAACGTTTTTATCCAGCTAAGAAAGGCTAACCTACCTTTTCTAAATTAATACCCCCATAGTTGATGGGTCTAAAGACAGGTAAAGCAACTACTATCTGTAACGGTAAATGCATGGAGTCATGCAATTCTAGTTTATTAGACCTAAACCTATAAAATTTAAATTTTTGGATCTAGATTTTCATCTATATAGTCCTGGGGTTAGAATCAAGGGTCTAATTTTGTTTGATCATTACCAGCATGGTTTAAGTTTATACAATTATATAGACCTTATTTTACCATTTAAATTCTAGTCTAACGTTGGGACACCGGTCAATTACGTGCATATTGGGATTCAAAATGGTGTTTAAAGAGACAGATCTATATTAACCGTAAAGTAAATCTATTAGCCAAAAATTAAATGATAACAGGTATACAACCTAAAACATGGGAAAATTAGATGTACATTAGTGATCGGGGTACTTATGCGAATGACATTGATAAACCATCATCTGAATTTATAGCCGATGTATACTCTAACAAGCCGCAAGAGACTTCTCAACGGAATTCATTCTCTCAGAAAAGTATGAACTGAGCTCATCCCGTAAAAGATGAGCGAAGACATCTCCCCTGGATTACTCGCGACATTAAACAGAAGATGAGGAAACGAGACGGTCTGTTTAAGAAAGTTCGCCGCCAGGATACTACAGCTGCTTGGGAAGTCTTCAGAAGGTTTCGAAATCGAGTGGCTACGTAAGTCCATTTATCCCATGGTGACTACATTAACAACATCATTGAAGTAAGCTTAACTGACAATAACAATTCCTCTCGGTCCTACATCAGGAGATGCCAAACCGAATAGATTGGTATAAACGTTTCCTGCGCCACGCACAAGAATGTTCTCCGCAGCGGCAGACACTGCTGAGACGTTGAACAACTACTTCTACACCGTGTTCATCCATGAAAATACAGAGAGCTTATCTTCCAGTCTCCTTATCCATCCATCTGACATCTATACATCGACATGAGATGAGTAGAGGAATTTGAGGAACAGTTGCAGCAGCTTAACCCTTTTAAAACAAGCGGGCCTGACGAAACTCCACATGAGCTTCTCAAGCTTATTGCCTATGAGATTGCTCCTGCGCTCTCGTTCTTGTTTCATCAAAGTTGTAACACTGGCACTGCAATACCATCACAGTCGAAACAGACTCTCATCTCACAAGTCGGGTCACAAGAGTGACCAATCTAACTACCTCCCATATTCCTTACCTGCATTTTCTACAAAATAACTGTTTTTCTACAGAGAAATCGTGACTGATGATGCCTATCACATTCTGCAACAAGATCTCCTGCAGCTGTCATAGCGGTCTGCTAGATGGCTAATGAAATTCAATGTCAAGAAAATGCGCTGTCCTCTCCATCACACGTAAACGATTTCCTCGCATCTACGAATATCATCTTGACAACGATGCAATACCAAGGGCCAAAGATTACAAATGCCTAGGAGTGAAGGTAACAACGATCTGCGATAAAATTTACTCTGCCAGAACGTCAGGCAAAAGGCAAGTCGGACACTGTGCCTCATCCGCAGAGCTCCGTCAAGTACGATTCGAA